TAATCCTTCTAAATAAATAACTTCTCAAGAGAAAACCTTTAGAAAGAAAAACATTTGTTTTTTTTTCCCCAAAGAAAATACTTAATTATCATACTTAGCAGGTACCATTCACTTTTTAAATAAAATTGGAAACCTTCCAGGAGTATTCTCAATTAAATAATTGTCTCACATTCTTGCTTCTCCTATTCTTGAGCAGCTGGTCTTACTATTGTAGCATCTTTCTTCTTCTAGATCCCCCATCAGTCCAGATAAGCAACGTCTGAGTTAACACCTTTGAATCACATTACGTCTCAATTTTGTCAGTTACTGTGGGAGGTTCAGACGCAGTCCTATATTTGTTCATACCCTGACAAGAGTCCTTTAAAGTTTCCAGGCCAATTTGGTATATGCTGTTGTGCAGAGTCTTATATGATCCCGTGGCCCTTGCTGATGGCAATAGCTAAAGGCACAACACTGTCAGTTAACATTCCTCACTTACGTTACTTGCCCAAGTTTGGGAGTTGTGTTGTGGAGATTTTAATATCTTCTTTTTGTCTCCGTCTTTTCTTCTGGCTTTTCAGCCCTCTTATTTTTAAAAGTATAGTGTTGGGCACTGAAATCAGACTCTGCTAAGAGGACTTTGGATAATCTTGGTACTTCTCGAAAGTATTGTCAGGTTTGGTGCACATTCTTTTGAACATAATAAGACATGTCCTCTGGTCTTACTTGAAATATTTTGTTGCCATGGATGAAATGGGCTTTAGAACCAGAAACCAACTTGAGTTTAAACCTAGCTCCATCACTTCACTAGCTCTGAGTTGCTTAACCTCTCTATATCTCTAAAGTAGAGATAGTGACTACTGCATAGTGAGGTTATGAAAAATTAAGTGAGGAAACATATTAAAGTGACTAGTGTACTATCTGGCATGTTGTGAACATGAATAATGTCAGTTTTTGTCTTATTTTACTGATGTAGGAGATAAAATCCTGGATGAGAGAGTGGGTCTGGTCAAGTGGGCCACTCTATGTTCTTTCCTTTCCTTTTTTTTTTTTTTTAAGTGTTTGTGTGTGGGAGGGGGTGCAGGGGAAAGGGAGAGAATTTTAAGCAGGCACCATGCCCAGCTGACAAGGGCCTTGATCTCACAACACTGAGATCATGACCTAAGCAGAAATCAAGAGTTGGACGTTTAACCAACTGAGCCACCGGGGGCGCTCCCACTTTTTATGTTCTTTCTCAACATGCCTTTTCAGTTTTTAAATAGCACAAAGCCAAGTAGAAGTTCTCAAGTCACCTGGATTTATTGAATATACTTTCAGCAAGTTTTTACTGAACATTACGTGCCAAAAACTGAACAAGAGAGATACAGAGCTAAGTACCAGGAAATCCTTATCTCCACTACCCTCCCCCCACTCTCCCACCGCCACCAAGGAACTCACAGTCTAAGGGGAAAGGTGGATTACTAAACCATTAATGACAAGGTGCAATAGGAACAAAGAGGAATAGTATCTACATACTTTAGGTAGTCAGGGGAAAACTTCCAGAACTGACACCTGAGCTGGGCATGGACTTCCAGGCAGAAGGAACAATATTGACAATATTTACAAAGGCAGGGAGGTAAAAGAAAGCATGCTCTGTTCCAGGAACTGCAAATAGTTTTGAATTAATGGAAAGAAGGTTATCTGTGGAGGTATGACAGGGTGAAGCTGGAGAAAGAGGTAGGAGTCATATTTTAAAGTATTTTCTGTCTTACTAAAGGGTCTGAACTTTAACCAGAGGCAGTGAAGAACCACTAAAGGGTTTTAAGCTGCAAAATGGAGTTCTCAATGTTTCATTTTAGAAATAAACGCTTTATGGGCACCTGGATGGCTCAGGTCATGATCCCGGAGTCCCAGGATTGGGAATGAGCCCTGAGCAGGGCTACCCCCTCAGCGGGGAGTCTGCTTCTCCCTCTGCCCCTCTCCCAGCTTGTGCTCTCTCTCTCTAAAGATAAATAAAATCTTAAAAATAGAGAAACACTTTAGCAGCAGAGTAGAGGATGTGTTCAAGGAAGGTTTGAGATGAGAAAGAAGGAAGGAAAAAAGCAAAGAAGAAAAACTAGGGCATTAGTAGTAACCTAAGTGAAGCATTACAAGGGCCTGAATGAAGGTAGTAAACGTGGGAATAGAAACAGATAGATAAGGGGAATATTAAAATGGAATGGAAATGCCTTGCAGTAATTTACAGGGGTTGGTGGATGAGTATAAGGAAGGCATTGAAGATGATTTCAGTATTCTGGCATGGAAGACTGGATGGATGATGGTGCCATTTACCAATATAACAGAAATGATGGAGGAAGTTGGGGTGGCAGGTCCAGGCAGCCCCAGAGATGAGCTTAGTTTGGGGCATATTGCATTCCATATGGCTGGGAAGATGTCCAGTAAGTAGTTGGCTGTGTCCAGACCTGGACAGTAGCGCCAATTGGGGAGGTTGTGGTAATCTTACCCAACTGTTATTAATTTTCCTTTTATTTCCAGTGACTGACATGTATTAAGTGGTCAGTAAATATTTGTTGATGTTACTGTGGCTGCAGCTTTTATCGGTGGTCTCCTCTGTACATGCTTTGAAAAAAAAAAATCATTGCTCGATTTAGTTTTACTCAACAGTAGGCAACTTTGGGCCAGATGTTGCTGGCCTAAGCAGTGTTCAACTCACAAATGGCTTCTTCATAACAGACCACCACGTATCACTTGAGCAGACTGGTATAAAATTGGCTCTAACTTGATTTTCTTTGGTATTTTCCTGGTTCTAAATCAGCCTTCTCAATTGTGACAAAATTGTTTGGAAAAGCCACGAAGTTTTTCTCCATGTGAGTGGGTTTGGATATGCCATTCACAGTGCTAAAACTAGCATATAGCAATTTAAGAAAATCTATTTGTTTATTACCAGCTGATCTATTTTTGGACAGCTCTAACAGCTTGTCTGACTCAAAAGAAATGGTGAGAAAAGTGCCCTAGAGAGTAATACAGTGTGTAAATAATAACAACTAATTTATTCTAGTAAATAAGGCCCTAGCATATTATAGGTACTCAGAATGTTGGTTGAATTAAATGACTGTATATGATACTTAAGAATTTACAAAGTGTTGGGCGCCTGGGTGGCTCAGTCAGTTAAGCGACTGCCTTCAGCTCAGGTCATGATCCTGGAGTCCCGGGATCGAGTTCCGCATCGGGCTCCCTGCTTGGCGGGGAGTCTGCTTCTCCCTCTGACCCTCCCCCCTCTCATGTGCTCTCTCTCTCTCTCTCATTCTCAGTCTCTCAAAATAAATAAATAAATCTTTAAAAAAAAAAGAATTTACAACGTGCTTTCACATATATTATTATTTTTTTTGATCTTCAGAACCCCATGAGTCAAACCAGGTATTATTCTCATTTTAAATATGAGGAAATTCACATACTCAGCAATAATATTTTATATATCTCTGATTCGTCTGCAAACAGAGACAGTTTCTGTTGTCCTCTCTTAGTCTCATTTTTCATGCCCTATGGAATCTTCATAATCAGTCCATGAAAGACCTGCTTAATCTGAATTCAGCTTGTACCACTCTGAGATACACTTGAGTTGATGGTTTCAAGATGGCTTAGAAGTAAAGTTGGCCTGATATTCTTGAGTGTGGTGCATCTTACCTTGCCTTAATAGGGCACTGGTTTATATTCATCACAATGTAGTTGGCTTACAAGTTAAGGTTAAAAAAATATAATGCATGTCATGTGATTTGAGTACTAACATGTAAGCTGATCCAAGCACGTGTCATTGACTCCAGGAATACCTTTTTAAAAGAGTCATTTTCTGTTAGTAAGTTACTAGGTGGTATGTAATACGGGAAGTTGATCTTACCAAAATTCAGGCCTGCATGGCTTTCTGGTGAGCACATGCACATGTTTACTTTTCCTGACATTTGGCTTCAGTCAGCCTGTTGATTTTTCACATGGCTCATATTCTTTTTTTACTCATGTGAATTCCTTCTCTTCTACCTTTAGCGCCTTTCTTTAAACTTTGGGATTATGTCCATCCATGGTGATGTTATCTCGTCATCCACATTCTTTTGGAAGTACTTATTTTAGGTCTGTTTTTCCTGTGGTGTGAGGCACTTGGCCCAGGATGGGACTGTTTCCAGAACTTACTTCTTAGGCGTGAAGATAGGTCATTCATCTATGAAGAAATATATCTCGGGGTGCCTGGGTGGCTCAGTCGGTTAAGTGTCTGCCTTTGGCTCAGGTCATGATCTCAGAGTCCTGGGATTGAGCCAGCCGCATCTCAGTGGGAAATCTGCTTCTCCCTCTCCCTCTGCCCCTCCCCCCTGCTTGTGTGCTCTATCTCAAATAAATAAATAAATAAATAAATAAATAAATACTCTTTTACAAAATGTATCTCAGCTGCTGGGTCACTTTTATTATGTTTACAAAGAAATACTTCACTATTTTTGGTATTTAATTTCATGACGGTGGTTGGATTAAGTTTGTTCTGGATGTATTCGATGTTTTAATGCCTGGAGATTTTAGCTTCTCCATCAGGGGCTGTTATGATGATATTTATGGTTTGGAGGTATGAAACATTTTTCAAACTGATCAGGCTTCTGGAGAATATGTTTCGATTGGCTCATAAATTGCATTGTTCCCTGTGCATACTAATGAGTTAGGTATTTAGGAATGGCAAAGTAACTCCTTTAAGTATGAAGAGTATGTGTTATACAGGCAAGATCATAGTAACAGTAACACAAAGTGCTTGGTACTGTGTGAGGCACATCAAAATTATTTCTCAGGTTAACAGGATTATAGAGATAAGACCAAAATGAGGTGGGAACTGCTTAAGCCACTAATATATTTATCAGTGAAGAGCAGTTGTTCCTTTTGGCTACCTCAGGAGCCAAGATTCTTGGTTTATATTAATACTAATATTTTTGAGACCTCTTAAAAATTATTGTTGATTCTCAAGAGTTCACAATATTCCCTACTTATTCCTAATCTTCTTGCTTCATTTGTAGAATATAAATGGCATTCGAACAGAGGAGGTGGCTGCCGTGACAAAGGGGCCATCTACCAACCCTGACTCTGAATGGGATGGTCCCAAGCACTCAGTAATTCCTAGTAAGAGCCAAATGACCACCCCGTCGGAGTCTCCACAAAGCTTTGAGTTTGGCTCCCTTTCCATAAGCAGCAAGGAGACAGAAGAGAAGGAGCAGGGGGCAGCTGGCTATCTTGATGTTAAGGAAATGCCAAGAGGCTCAAGTGGGGAATGTATAGGAGTGGAGGAACAGGCCAGTGCCTTAAAGTTCTCAGTATCACCAGCCTCCTCTCAGCTGCAACTTGGTGAAAAAAAGGCAGAGAGTAGTGAAGAACATGTTACACCAGGAGAGCCACTTGGAAAGCAAAATGGATCATTTCATGACTCTCGTGTGGGTAACCAGTTCCCCACCCTCATTCGAAGTTTCCAGGTAGTAACCGATTCAGTGATGCAGGTCTAATGACTCACTTTGGGAGAGGGCCAGAATCTTCTCTGTGGAGGAGGTGGTGGTGGTGGTGAGGGCAGTCGCCTCTCTGCTTTTTTGAGAATCACAGAATAAAAGCGAAGCCCTTGATTACTACAAATAAATTTATTCAGAGGAATTAACTCCATGGCTAGAAATGCTTTCTCCCCTGAGGACTTAAAACTCTTGGGGGTAAATTCCAGCTGCTTATCTTTATGAAGCTGATGTGAGTGGGTTCCTCTTTTCCTTGCTCAAGTATGGGCTATATAAAGAGGTGAATTTCTGAGACTTCTATGATGAAGAGCCATTAGTGTTCTGGGGCCATGTTCAAAAAATTCAAATATTTTTCGTTAAAAGATACAACTGATTTTTTTTTTTTTTTTTTTTTGAGATTTCAGACTCCAAACAATTATTTCTGTATTGCGGCCACATAGTATAGCCCACCACTCCCACTGACTCCACTCACAAGGGCTTCCATGCTCACAGGCACTAATCTCCTATGCTAAGGTGGATGGCCACTTAACTTTATCACAATCAAATAGTAGTTTTAGGGTGATTTATAGTCTTTGGCAAGGTGAGCTGATGGACAAGAAGCCTTTGATATTCCACTAATGTTCATTCTTCAGAAATTCTGAGATTAATCACCAGGTGGTGGTAGAAGTCATGATTTTCTTTCCAGTTTTCCAAATACTGTTCCTTCTCAATAAATCCAAAGTGAATGTCTGACATTGATTTGAAAGAAGTTAATGAATTCCAAAATAAAGTATTCCAATGCCATTGCTATTTCATGTCCCATTTTTAGTTAGTGGAGGAAATGCGACTGATTTTCTTAATTACAATGGCACAGTCACAAGGACAAACAAAAGGGACTGCTATTTGGCAAACAGTTTTATATTCAAATTCTGAAGGTCAGTCTAAAGTGTTTTGTATCACTGATCATAACCGTCTGATCTTACAGCTTTCCATTAAGTATATGAAAATGATTACAGTAATGCTGTTTTTAAATATCCCTCATGATTTGACACCTTGTCAAGGCTACTTGGAATAGTGTCCAAGTCTTGGGCAGAGACTGAATTAGCCCTTTGCTTGATTAGAGCTATCACTTTGATCAGATCAATGTCAGAAGATTAGTTCTCCACAGCCTTCTGAAGACTCTGGTAACTCTGTTTCTTTACTGCTTCACAGCCTCCCCTGGTGAAGACTCAGACCGTCACCATCTCAGATACTGCCAACGCTGTGAAAAGTGAAATCCCAACCAAAGATGTCCCTATTGTTCACACTGAGACCAAGACCATCACTTATGAGGCTGCCCAGGTGGGACATGATGTGCTGTTTCAGAAGCAAAGACTAGAGTAAACACAATAAATAACCTTCATTCTTTAGAGTCTCTAATCATTTGCTGCAGGTAATGCTAGGCTTTTCTGGGGTGATTCTTTTTATTTATTTATTTATTTAAAGATTTTATTTATTTGACAGAGAGAGAGAGACAGTGAGAGAGGGAACAGAAGCAGGGGGAGTGTGAGAGGGAGAAGCAGGCCCCCCGCGGAGCAGGAAGCCTGATGCGGGGCTCCATCCCAGGACCCTGGGATCATGACCTGAGCCTAAGACAGAAGCTTAACCAACCGAGCCACCCAGGCGCCCCTGGGGTAATTCTTTTTAGAAGAGATTACTGATCTAAGGATGTCCCAAAGTACTTCACTAAAAGCAAAGTTGTCTCACATCTGATTGCTTATATCCTCCACCCAATTCAATTAGGGAAGGCGGTCTAGTGTAATGGTTCAGAACATGGGCTTTGGGTCACACAAACCTGAGCTCAGGTTCTGGCTCCTCCACTTACTCCAATTGCTACAAGTAATTGAATGTCTCTGAGCCTTGATTGCTGCCCCCCCATCTACCTCCCCACCCCATCCATGATGTTAGTATCTGCCTCACGATTTTATTTTTAAATTTTTTTTAAAAAGATTTTATTTATTTGAGAGAGAGAGAGCATGAGCAGAGGGAGGGGCAGAGGGAGAAGCAGACTCCCTGCTGAGTAGGGAGCCTGACACAGAGCTCAATCCCAGGACCCTGGGATCATGACCTGAGCCAAAGGCAGACACTTTAACTAACTGAGCCACCTAGGCACCCCTGCCTCATGATTTTATTATGAAGATTATATAAGATATGACACTGTATGGACTTGACTTGAGCATCATGCCTGAAAGTGTAAATAAGTAACAGCTACAATATAATTTATGGGGTGCCTGGCTGGCTCAGTTGGAGGAGAATGCAACTCTTGATCTTGGGGTTGTGAGTTCAAGCTCCATGTTGGGTGTAGAGATTACTTAAAAATAAAATCTTTAAAAAATTATTAAAATTTATTACAGTTAAATTTAAAATCACACAAGAATTTAAGTATTTAAAATTTTTGTTTAAGTAAAAATTTTATTTACTTTTAGTAAAAATCCTCCTCCATTATTGGCAATTTGAATGAGCTAAGACTTGCTTTATGTTGAAGTGTTTTTTTCCTTCCTTTTATTCATAGAAGCCAAAAGTTGGAAAAAGTTTTCCCCCTATAAACTGACAAGCAAATATAAACAGATATTTGTTGAGCATTTATGTATTAGGCCAAAGAGACTAAAATTGGGTGAAGAGTTAGACAATGTGAGATTATATGAAAGGTTAACCATTCCTCTGAGGCTAGCGTAGTCAGGAAAATCCACTCTGAGGAGGCCACATTTGGGCTGAAGCCTGCATGGCAGGAACAAGGCAGCTGTGCGAAACTCTGGCTGAGTGATTTCACCTAAATCCTTACCGCTGATCCTCACACCATGAACTGGAAGACGATATCCCTTTCAGGAAACGGCGTCACTTGCCAATTAAGAGCATGTGCTTTACAATTAGAGTATCCTAGCTCAACCACATACTAGCTGGATACTTTAAACAAATCGCTAATCTCTCTCCCCCTCTGTTTCTTTGGCTGTAAAATGGGGCTAGTATCATCTTCCATTGCAAGATTTGGGGGAGGATTCAGTGAAGTGATGTCTGTAGAGTGTCTGGTGCATTCATGGATGCTCAGTCACTGTTAGTATGCTTCTCCCATCTCTCTTGGTCTAGAGTGTGGAATTTGGTAAATAATGAGGTTGCTTAAAAGTGTTATAGCAGTGGTGATAAAGCAGCATCATTGAGGCAGTGATTTTTGGAAAATGATTCCTAAGGCTGTGTGCTAATTTTTTAAAGTAGGGGGATGCCTGGAGACAGGGATATGACTAGAGCAAGTCTGGGGAGATGCTTATAAAGAACTGAAGTGTAGCTGGAGGAAATGAGAAGAAAGAGCTGTGTCAAGTCAAGAGAGACAGAAGTGAATGAATAGGACTTGGCAGTACAGGGGATTGAAGAAGGAAGGAATAGGAAATTACTTTAAGATTGTGCACGTCATTAACCAGAGGATGTAAGAATTACTTTCATATGGTAGGAAACTCTTTAAATTGTTACTGCCATGGAAACAACCTAACTAGCCATCAGTAGGGAACAGGTTAAATAAGTTATGGTATATCCAATTAGTATAATTCTGCGCAGATATTTAAAAAAGCTTCTGATGGGAATAATCTATCTGATAAATTAATAGATAAAAAAGCACGGTGAGGGGCGCCTGGGTGGCTCAGTTAGGCGTCCAACTCTTGGTTTCAGCTCAGGTCATGATCTCCGGGTCATGAGATCGAGCCCCGCATTAGGCTCTGCGCTCAAAGGGGAGTCTGCTTGAGATTCTTTCCCTCCCTCTTCTTTTGCCCCCTCCTTCTCTCTCGAAAATAAATAAATCCTTAGAAAAAAAAAAGCATGGTGGAATATGGTGTAATAATATGCTGTTTATAGGAGGGAAAGAGGAGGCTTGTATATGAATATATTATCTCCGAATGGGTACTCAAAAAGAAAACGCAAAAAGGAGTGGTGGCCTCTGCTGAAGGGGACTAGGACTACAGGACTGTGGTCAGGAGTGGGAGGGAGACTGACATTTCACCGTATTCTGTTTTGAAGTGAATTTTGTAGCATGTAAATGAAAGTTGTTAGGACCAGGCTGCCCACAAAAGCCCACAAGGTTTGAGTGTAGCCCCTTAAAAAAGGGAAAAGGGAGCAGTCATTGTAAAATATACTCACGTGTAAGAGAAGTGGAGAGGCAGCTTGATGTGCTGGGTAAAGCATGTGGACTTTGGAGTTAGACTTGGATCTCAATTCCAACACTTGCTAGGTTTGTGACCTTTGGCAAGTCACTTAAACTCTTTGAGCCTTAGTTTTCTCTTCTGAAAAATAACTTTATAAGGCTATTAAAAGAAGGCTAATATTTGCCTGGCATATGGTAGGTAATAAAAAACGGTAGCTGTATTATATTGTTACATATCTACCTTTATTTCATTTTAACCAGGCTTGAGACAGTCAACCAAAATACACATGACTTCTTATTCATGCTAGACAGTGGCGCATAGTGGGGAAAGTACTAACTTTGGAATAAAATTTCCTGGGTTCGAACGCGCTCCATCACTTACTGATGTGCGGTCAGGTTAATCACTCCGTGCCTCATTTTCCTCATTTGTAAAATGGGGCTAATAATAGTTCCACCTTATAGGGTTGTTGCAAGGAATAAAGTAATGTGCATTTCAAATTAAGTTGTCACCTCCATGGAAACAACTTAGATGTCCATCAGTAGCGAACAAATTAAATAAATTGTGGTACATCCAATTAAGGTAATTCCATACAGCTATGAAAAGCCTCTGATGGGAATAATCAATATGATAAACTGGTAAATAAAAAAGCATAATGCAATATGGGTGTAAATGATATCTAGAAAAAATGTGCCTGGCACATAATAAACACCAGATAATTATTTGCTATTGTTGTTATTTATGTACGATAACTATTTCTGCTTCTGTTTTTATCTTGCCAAACAGGTTAGCCCAGGTACCTTTTTTTTTTTAAATTAGTCTACAATTCCCACACTTTGGGGAATGTGGTGAGAGGAGTTGGGGAGCCGGAACAGGATTTTACTGTTTGTGTATATGTACGTGTGTGCATGCTTGAGGTAAAGCCCACCTATATACAGGGAAGTGCACAGTTTTTAAGTGTTCCATTTGATTGATTTTTTTTTAAATGATGCCTACTTTTTTTTTAAGATT